CTTGCTCCCATTCCCAGTTGCTGGCAGCCATGCCAGGCAGCCTCCATAGCCCAGAGCCAGGGGCTCTGTCTGGGTGGAGGATGGAACCCTGGGTTCACTGATGCAAGGGGAAGGAGCACCAGCTGAGGCCAAGGCAGGGTCTCCTCTAGTGTCCCCACCACTCAGTCAGCAACCACTCCCAGCTTCTCAGAGCACACACCCCAAACACACATGAACTGGCCTAGGAATTGGCCTGCAAGCTGCCTGCAAAGTGCTTACCTTGTTTGCAGTTGTTGGTAACCTGGGGAGTCTCCTTTTATGCCCTGTTGGGACTCAACTGGCTCTGCCCCCTCATTAGGGCTTTTGGCAGGCCCAGGCAGCAATCACTTAGCAGTCAGCAATCACTCTCAGCTTCTCAGAGCACATGCCTCAAACACACACAGTCTACCAAATAAACACTCAGGAAACCAAAGGCACAGGCAGCTGGATCACTTACCTTCCTGGGCAGGATTTGGTTCCTGGCTTCTCTCCTCCTTCCTCCACTTGCCCCTAGCAACTGCCAGCAAACTGCTTACCCTGTTTGCAGTCCCTGTTTGGTGCCTGCCTGGTCACTGGCTTTACTAAGTGGATTGAATTTTTAATGTATTTGAATAAATTTAACTTCAAAATGAAAAATCGCTCAGTGATTGTTTCTAGAGAAAAATTTTGATGGTCAGAAAAATAATTTGTTTTCCATCTTTCATCTTCATTATTTCTTGTAGCATAGTTGGAATTAGTTTTGATTTCAATTTTATTTTAACTGGGGGGAGCTGGAAAAACAACAGCTGAGCTTCACATAAAAGAAAATAACTTTTGTCGTTTATTTTTAGGTTACAAGTGATCTTTGCAAAATTTGATGAAGTGAGAAACTCTGGAAATATGTTGATTAGTACCAGTGGTGAGTAAGCAAGACTATCTATTGTTATTAAAAATGGCAGGTGACTAACTCTCATTTAAATTGTGCTTAATTTTTATTTACTTGGTGGAATTACTGACATTTCCAAAGTGAGGCTTGGGTTGACTACTCTAGAAATATGTTTGTGCGCTACGCTATAATATTAAGTTTTGATGTTGATATGTTGCTATAAACATTGTTTTCTTGTCTTTTGAAATTTAGTATGCCTGATTGCTGCACTATTTTGACATATTTCCATACCCAAAATGTCTTGTAATAATGGCAGTTGCACTTTCTTTAAGCAGTTTGCATCACTGTACCAGTGCGCAAACTGTTGCAGCTCCATTGATGTATCATATTTACTCAATTATAAAACAACTCCCCCAATAACTAGATTCTGTGTATGGAAAATTTATAAATTTGTTAACATTTTCCAGGTATAGCATCTAATTAGCAGAGCTTTGTCTTGAATTTGTCCCCCTCCCACTGCTACAGCAGGGAAAATATGAGGGGTCAGGTAGCCCCTTTGTCCCCTCCCCCTGGACTTCTAACCCCCATTACTGTCAGACCTTGCTTTCCCTGAACACATGGAAGTGAGGAGCAAATATGAAAAAACTGACCTTGAAATAAATATAGTTGTAGCAATTTGCATATAGTACCCATATACTTCATTCATCCAGAAGTGATGCATGGTACCATTTCTTTAAACTGCTGCAAGTTTTAGCATAGGTACTATGTAAACATACACGTAAGTAGCACTTGGCTATCTACTTATATAATACAAACTATGAATATTAGTCCAAAGCCAAAAGGCCCATTATTTACCATATAGTTCATTGGGATGGGCCCCAGCATTGTTGATAGCATTTTAAGCCATGTGAACCCATGGCTTAGCATTGCTCAGTATATGTCTGTACTCCAGACACCCCCACAAAGAATCTATTTGCTAATTACCCCCCACCCACTCATGACTGAAACAAGGTGTTTTTGTCATGAGTCCTGGGATCCTCCAAAATTTACATGCGGTTGAGGCATAGGGCATCTCGGTCTGGCTTTACCTCATGGAGGGCAAGGCCACACTAACAGTTTGCAACAGGCTGAGAGAGGGGGTAACAGAGGGATTCTGGGTGAACTGTTTGGGGCCCTGTTTGGTGATGTTTGCCTAGTATTTAAGGTTGGTAGAGAAGCAGGACTCGTTGGAAATGGGGAAGAAAGATGCAGCTTAGCTGTGGGAGTGACAAGGAAGTAAAAATGGGGCGTGACCCAGTGTAGTGGCTCACCATGACTTGACAAAGAGTTGATGCTGAGGGGGATTGTGCTCTACCATACACTTTTTATTCAGGTGGGTTATACTGACTTATCTTTTTGCAGGTTGCCATCAGCATGTTTGCACAATATGGCCTGTGTGCTTTATGGTCATGCTCAGTGTTGGCTATATTTTAATCAGCTTCATAGTTGGTTTCCATTGATGAGCACATGCTGCTTTTTAACAGCAGTTCAAAGATAGGCAGTGTATTTATATACATCCTGTGAATGTAGGATGTCAGACTTTCCCTCCCATGCTGATTTGTGGAGGGATCTTGTCTTGGGATTCAAGTAAATATGGTAGTTGGTCTTCAAAATATCTTCTAAAACTTCAGAGTATTTTCTGCAGTCTTGAAGTTGTAATAAAGTGAGTTTAGATTGGATACCAGGAAAATTTTTCTTCACTATTGAAATAGTGGGGCAGTGGAATAGACTGGCTAAAGAAGCTGTGGACTCCACATCAGTAGCAGTGGTCAAGAATAGGTTGTACAGACATTGGTCAGGGATGGATCTAGGCAAGCTGTTCTCTCAATCTTTTTGCCTGGTGGTCCAGGTTGGTAGTGCCCAGTTTGTCCATTGGGCAGATCCAGCCAGTGTTCCTGATCCAGTGCCCAGGCAGGCACAGCGTGCAAAATCTAGCCATTTGGAAGAGAGTGGGGGGCCAGGCTGCACCCACTGCAGCCCTACAGGTTAAAGGAGCTTAACTTGGCCCTGTGATGGGAAGGGGGCTGTCGCAGGGCACTTAAGTGCCCTGCGCCTGAAATGGAAGCGACCCGGGAGAGACCCCTAGTGGTGAGAAGGGGGAGGCTCGGCTGCCAGTCACCAGGGCAGCACAGGTGCCGGTTGCCGGGGCAACCGCAGTTGGTCAGCTGACCGGAGGGGGCAGGGCCTGGCATATATAAAAGTGATCCCAGCTGAGGCCAGAGAGGCAATTCCCCACTTGCAGCCGAGGAGGAGGGAGCTCTGCTGGAGTAAGCAGAGCAGAGAAGCCTGATGGTCTGAGCAGCCTCTGCTTGACGGTACCGGGTGGCGGAAACCCTGGTAGGGATATGAATGATGGTTAGCCAGTTGGCTTAGAATTTATGTTGTAGCCCAGGAGCTTGAGTTTTCTGTTTTGTAGCTGTATAAGACCGGAGGACTGGGTGAGGTTATAAGGGGTTGGAGGAGGCCTCATGGGGCCTCCATGGTAGCATGGAGACCCCATGCCAGAGAGGGCGCAGCATTTTGGGGTGTATCGACCCCGGCTCCAGTGTGGGCTACGAGAGTGAGAGGAGCCCCAGTGCGGGTGGCAGCTGCAGGACAAGCCAGAGAGCGCCCGTGAGGGCATGGGCAACGGAGAAAGACGAGCCAGAGGACCCGTGAGGGCACGGGTGACTGTAGGACCCACGCATAGCCCCAGCGGCTATAGTACACAGTGTCATCGAAGGTAGGGCACAGACTGGGACATCTCAGGGCACCATGCCAGAGAGGGTAAAAAGGCAGCCTCCCTTTAACAATATCAACATCAAAGACGTGGCAGGAGAGATGGTGAGGGTGCATTGAAACCAATTTGGCACAGTAGGGGGCGCTAGGGGAGTTCACGGCCGCCCCTAGGTTGCGCCCTGCCACAGGGGCATCACCCAGCCCTGTGGGGGAAAGAGGCATGGCCAGGCCCCAGTTGGGCCCTGTTAGGAGGGAAGGAGGCATGGCCCAGTCCTGATCCAGAAGTGTGGGCGGGATGTGGCCTGGCCCAGCCCACCAAGTAGGACTTGGGGGTTTGGAATTGAGCAGGGAGGTCTATGGCCATATTATGGGTCACAATTCTCCCACTGCCAAACTTCCTGATCCATGGGAAGCTCTATGGCCAGAGGTTGAGCACCCCTGGTCTAGGCATAGCTATGCCTATATTCTCCTGTGGCTGTTTCCCATGCTTCTGGGCTTTCCTGATTTGTGCACCCCTCCCCCCACCCCTCTTCTACATGTCAGTGTGTTTTTAAACCTTCCTCAGAGGCATTGGTTATTGGCTACAGCCAAGGCTAGGGACTTTAACTGGGGTGTGCTATTGCTTCTGCTGGAACTTAAACACAGAGACTCCTGGGTAAAGTGTTTTTGCCCCTCTGCTCAGGGCCAGACATAACCAGATTTGCAGTCAGGAAGGAATTTTATTGTATAGTCAGATTGATACAGACTGGGGGTTTTTGCCTTGCTTTGTAGCAGGGGTGTGACCCTTTTCCTAGGATCTCTTGAGCATATACTAGCAACCTTTGCAGTAGGATGTTAGCTGTGGTGGTCCCCCTGCTTTATCTGTGTCCAGTTACAGTGTTATGTCTTGTGTTGTGTCAGGGTTGATTGTGTAGTTTTGTTAAGAGATTAGATAATGGATTTGTATAGGTTGGTTTGGATAGGAATGATTCTGCCTTGGACTAGATGATCTTGTGATGTTCCTTTTAGCCCTACTTCTCTGTAATTCTACGATACAATTAGGATGTTGCAATATATTTTAGTATTGTATGTGAAATTCCTTTTTATAAATATTTTTGGCTTTCTTTTGGAGTATGTCTCTTCCTAGTAATTAAACATGAATAAATATATCTACATATTTTTCTCAAATGAAAATTCATTTAGTGATTTTAAATAATTGTGGCAACATTTTGAAAGCTACTGTTAGAAACCTCCATCTTTTAGAATTTTTAAATTTCAAAATAAGACTCTCATTTTTCACTACAGGAGAATATTTGCCCTATGGGTTTCTTTTGTGGGGCATGGTTTTTTGGGGTGTTTTTTTTGGAACTTTAAGCATTGGTGCATTTTACTGAAACAATTTGTTATATAGTGATTTCCATCTACAAGTTCCCTGCTGCATCTTTAGTGTATAGTATATTGTAATAGTGAAGAATCAGAAACCTTACTCTATTAATTAACAAATTACTTTTGTATGTTAAGTGAAAACAATTTGTAAAACTCAGCAATACAACTAATATATATTGTATCAGTGATTTTTAATATGATTGCTTTTATGTAGTTTTCATCATGTATTCATTTTTTGTCTTTGTTGTAAACAAATCCTGACATTTTATAGGGTTTTCCATCTTTTTCTTTGTAATTATGACGCATTCTGTTTTTCTACAGTTGATACTTAAACCCTTCTTCTCGCTCTCACTAACAGTTTTTTTTTATCTAAAATTCCTTGCAGTTTCTTTTCTGAATCAGCTATTAAGACTGCATCATCATCATAACACAAGTTGTTCAAATTCTGTCTGCCAGTGATCAGCCATGATAAATCCTCAATCTCCCTCAGTATTGTCTCACAGTTCAAGTTGAAAGAGTCAGGTGAAAAAACAGTTTTTGCCTTATGCCTTTCAATTTGGATTAAATCAGTTCGCTTTCTGCTGCGGTTTGATCCCAATAGAGGTTTCTTAAAATTCTCAAGTTTTTACTATCCGTATCCAGTTCTTCCAGTATTTTCATTAACTCCTAATGCTTGACTCTATCAAAAGTTTTGGTATAATTAGTGTTCCGCATTTTCATTTTTTTCCAATTTTTACCAGTTAAATTCTCTCTTTTTTTTTTTTATAAATATATTTTTTATTGAAGTTATTTGGTTTTTACTGATTCCTGTGTTTTTCAGTTCACTCAATTTTACTGGGTACAGTAAAATCCCTGTTAACCGGTACAAGTGGGGAATGGCTGGAGGGTGCCAGTAAACTATAAGTGCCGGT